CCAAACTTTGCATCTCCTGGACTGATGTCACTTGCTGGGCCTGCAGGCCCTGCATCTGAACCTGCAGCGCGTCCGCCCGCGCGTTGGCGGCCCCAATCGCCGTGGGCAACTCGGACTTCATCGAACCAATCGCAGCCAGGACCTCGGCGGAGCCCGACATCGCAGCCGAGGGGGAAACTGGGGTAATCCGCGAGATTGTTCTTGCACCTGAACGCCGCGTGCTCCGGCGCACGACTGGAGAAGATTGCGAGGCCCAACCTCGGGGCGCCCGGGCCAACCCCTTGGCGGCGCCCAAGCTCGAAGCGGCGGGGCAGCGTTTCAAACTTGAGCCAAAATGGCGCGAGCCAAAATGGCCACGGACTGCTTGAGTCACACCTTTTTGGTAGGTCATCTTGGGGGCGCCAGTCGCATCCAAGGATTTCGCTCGCTTTTTGCTCCTACTCTCTTGGCCCAGCAGATGTCGACGCTCACTCTTCGTCAACGCAAGTTTGCAAGTTGTTCGGAATTGCCTCAAATAAACGTGAGCAGCCCCTCGAAGACGCCGGCGCGGATGCCGAAGTCGCCGTGGCCAAGGCCGGGTGAAACAGAGGTCGATGCAAGCGCTGCACCTGTCTAGTCGCGCAGCAAGTGCGTCGGTGATGATGCCGATGGAGTAGTCGCTGTAGGACTTAAGGTCGCACGCCCTGAGCAGCTGGTAGCGAGGGTCGCGCTCGCACAGGAAGATCAGCCGATGCCGCGCATCAGCGATGCATCGGTATCCTGGGCCACCTGAGCAGTCGTCGAAGCCGCAGTGGGCGGGGGAGCTGCGGCATGTCTCACGACCACCTCTGTGAGCTCGTCGGTCTGAAATGCTGCGCGCCGGCAATACTGCACAGGTCGGTCGAGCATGATGCACTTGTCAGAAGCTTTCGCAGCGTCGCCCGACTCCAGAAACATAACGATCTTGCCACCATTGACGGTATGTTTGGTTTTCGATAAAGCGTCGCCGTCAGCGCCCCCAGCTTCCATTGCTTTTCTGAGCTGTTCTGATGCGTCGTGCACATCCTTTTTGCTGAACACAATTTGGACCCCCCGCTTCAACCTGCCATGGGCACGGAGAGCTCACCTGCGCAATGCCGCGGCAACCTCCAGGCCCTTCCAGCGATATCCCAACGGCACTGGAAATTGCCCCCCACATACCAACCAAATCGCTTTCTTGCGTGCTGACAAAGCCGATTGTTCGTCCCCATTGCATTTGAACGGGTACCCTGGCGAAAAATAGTGACAAATATCATCTGCCTCGGGGTCGCGCGTCATCGCGGCCAAAATGACATCGACGTCGGTTTGCGTCAGGTCTCAAACGGCCGACGACACGTGCAATCAGCGCGACCGTTGTCGTCGCCACGCCGCCGATGATGCTGGTAGCACAGGCGCGAGTCTGCATGTAAACGATTCCTCGACCTCCGCATCCAAAGCCTCCAGATACGTGGACTGAAAACGAGCAGATTCAAACGCGTGACCTAGCTTCACCAAAACGGAAGAGCAGCCCGTAGAAGCCATCAACGGCTTCGCCGCCAAAACAAAGCTGTGGCACGCACATCTGAAGTCAATAAGAGCGGCGATCGCATGGGCGGGCGAATCCTCCAGAGCATCCTCTATGTTCCTTTCCTGCAAGCGCACTGCGTACAAATTAAGTTGGAAGTTGCCTTCAGCCAGCGAAACCGTTTTCCATGGTATGCGGCCCAAGCATTTGTGGATCTCTCCATCTTTGTCAGAGCACCTGCCAGTATTGGATGTGCTCATGACGGTCCACCTTTTCCATCGGTCACACACAGCCATCGCATCCGCCACTGGAGAAAATTGAGTCGGCGTCTCCATTGCAGCACTAGATAGCAGCACGCGGTCACTGTCAATCATTGCGTCTCCACCGGATACGGACGGAGCAGTTCGCAGCACAAACACATTCCCACACATTGAACGAGTTTGCATGTGGGAGTTAGCCCCGCATTTTTCAACGTCGCCTCCCAATGTTGTTCAGTTTCGCTGTGCACGTTTCTTGTTTGCAGAGTTACTGATCACCCACATCGTGGCGTCAACAAAAACATTAGTGGACCAACTTCCAAGTATCCTGTCTGAGTTGTCGTTTTTTTCCATAAATCTTTTTTATATAAAACAAATCATTCCAGAAATCTGCGCAGCAACGTGCGGGAGGAGGGCTCGATTGGACGCCTTGTCGAAACCTGATTTACCGCGCCTTCGGCGAGACGTGAACACGGCCCCGCCATCAACGAAAAGCTGGATCGATTTTGATTGCTGGCAAATGAATCCACCATCGCTCAGCCTCAGCGCATGCGATGTTGCTTGAGATCTGCCTGGGGCTAAGGCTGTCGAGAGTTCATTGACGTGCCTCTCTAATGCACCTGCTCTTTTTGTTGTTCACGTGTCTGTAGTTTCTGCCACTGGGGGGCAGACAATTTGAATCCAACCTTTCGGCCACGTTTCTCCAGAAGATACGATTTCTTCACTGCATGATTGTGCCCAAATGGCTACGGACGACGACGAGGACGACGACGACGACGATGAGATCGCACCCGAACGGCGTCAATGATGACGGCGAAGGGCCCCCCAGAGGCCCCCAGGAGGAGGAGGAGGAGGAGGAGGAGGAGGAGGAAGGGAAGGGAAGGGGGAGGGGGAAGAGGAGAAGGAGGAGCGAACGTCCACTGGCGGACGTTGTCTTCTCCATGCACGGCCGCGCGCGGGAGCGCCGCCGACCGGGCTGGGGCCGAGCCTCAGGGCATACCGAACGGCCTTCACCACGTTGATGTGGGCGTGGTAGCATATGGAGTCCACGGTCGAGCCGTGGTGGAGCGAGTCCTGCAGGCTGTGGTACGCGCGGTAGGCGACGGCCATGCGCACCAGAACGTGATCGATGAGATTGTCGGGGTCGCCGCTGTCGGCGAAGTTGGCATCGTGGAGGCCCAGGCGGGCGAGCACGCATTGATGAAGACGGCCTCGCGGCAACGATAAATGATGCCACGTGCGTTTGCAGATCAAGTAGTGGGCGATCGTGTCAGGGCTGAGCTCGGGGTCGCAGCCGAAGACGCAGCTGCGGCGAACAGGTTGAACGTGGAGGCGATATGTTGTGGCCCAGCCGCCCGCCAAGGTTTTCATCACTGACCAGAAACGAGAAGGCGGTAGTTGAGCAACATGTGGTCGTAGTCGTCGCCACGAGCTTCGCATGGAGAACGGCAGCTGGAAGAGCATAGTCATGTCGTTGTTGCCCGCGTACTGTTCGGTCAGGTCCTCATTGAGGTCTGGGAGGTGGTCGGTGTTGTCATTCCGGAAGTCGGCGTCCAGTACAGTCTGCGACGAGTACGGTGTTCAGCGGCAGTAGCGGTGAAGCGTTGTTGAACTTCTGTGGAGCGCGAGCCGGAGAAAACGTTGCTCGTCTGGCGGCGGCTCCTCACTGTGATGAACCAAGCGTCGGAACAAATACGGCTGGCTCGAGAGAAGGAGGAGGAGGAGGAGGAGGAGGGGGAGGAGGATTGAATTGGATTGGCTCCTTCGCATAGCGATCTGGGGGAGGAGGAGGAGGAGGAGGAGGAGGAGGAGGAGGAGGAGGAGAAGGAGGAAGAGGAGGAGGAGGAGGAGGAGCAGGAGGCGTCAAGATTACCGCCGTCGCAATTTTGGACAACAATCGGCGAGGCAGAAAAGGCCAGTACCTATCGAGACCCTCTAAGAAAATGTGCAAATGGACCCCCCAAAGAGCCCGACAGCGAGACTCGGCATTTCTTCAGCGAGCGGCCAGGACCAAAACATGGGGACGTTCAGCGAAAAACGCAAATGGGTTTCTCACGAATGGCCAGCAAACCCAAAAGAGTTTGCGACCACATTCTCTGGGAGAATCTGGTCACAAGGTGCCCTCTCTCTTCCCTGTCTCCCACGGCCACCTCTCCCCTTCCCCCTCCCTCCCTCCCTCTCTCTCCCTTTCTCCTTCCTCCCTCTCTCTCCTCCCCTCTCTCCTCCCACTCTCCTCCCCTCCCCTCTCATCTCTCTCCTCTCCCCCTTCTCTCTCGCCTCAAAACATCCTCCCCTCTCTCCTCCCCTCTCCCACGGCCAGGCTGTCAAGCGATCGTCAAATCCACCTTCTCCTCCCCTTTCACACTGCCCTCCTCCCCCTTCTCGTCACCCTCCTCTTTTTTAAGTAACACTAACGCGTGACAACTTCATTCAGGAAAAGTGGCAAGTGACAAACCCCGAACATCATATTCGCCACCGAACAAGGCACGTCCCCCGCCACCACACTAACCTTTTCTAGTGGGCACCTGGCGCTTAGAGAATACAAATTCGAAGGACGCGTAGCCTGTCATAGCATGGCACGACGCCCCAAAGTGGGAAGGGGCTTCTGCGACCCCAAAAATTAACGAATCGACACCGACTGTGGAATCACTTCCGATGGTTTTTTTTTTCAGAGGGCCATTGTCTAGATTTTGAAGCCTATTTGGAAGGACCGAAAACCATGCCGCTGCATGGCGCTGGAAATAATGACGCCAGCGCTGCAGCGGGAGCACGACTCGGAACGAGCGGAAGCGCAGAAATGAGGCCAGCGCTGCAGCGGGAGCACGATTCGGAACGGGTGGCAGTCCGAAAATGAGGCCAGCGCTTCAGCGAGAACAGCATTTTGAACAACAAAAAAAAAAAAACAAAAAAAAAAAAAAAACGGAAACCCGACTCCCAGTAATCTAGTGCAAAAAACTCATACGCGGAAGGGGGCCGAACAATCCCCGGACGCCACCAGGGGAGAGAGGAGAGTAGTTCTCAAATGACTTAATTGTAGATGGGGGGGGGATATGGGGCGATAGATATATAGAGAGAGAGAGGAAAAAAGGGGGGAGCAGGACATGGGGAGGGGTGGGTGAGGAGCAGGGGGAGACGGGGAGGGGGCGAGAAGGGAGGAATAGGGAACGGGAGGAGGGGGAGGTGAGCGGGGGCGAGGGTGGACAGGAGAGCGGCAGGGGGGCCTGCACGAAGAGGCAAGGCAAGGCGACCTCGCCGGCCTCCTGCAGGTCCGGCACGGATTCCCGCAGGCGCTGCTCGATAGCCGCCAGGGCGCCACTGCCTGGGAGGCACCCAACACTGTCGACGGGTGAGGTCCTCCTTCCTTCGTGCTCGTCAGCGCGATTTTGGAAGGAGAAGCGGGGGGAAAGCTGAGGGTCTGGTCCTCGTTTCTGCTCCCCCCTTCTGCGGGGGATGCCACGCTGCATGGGATCGAATCTCCGAGGACTCCTAGGGAGGAGTGGATCGGGAAGCGAGTTCCAGGGTGAATGCGGCCGCTTCTTCTGCCAAGACGCTGCTGGCGGACATGAGTACTGTGGTTCTACGATGGCTAGGTGGCGCTGGTCATCCTCGTCTCGGCCGCGGCTTTCTTCTGCCCGAAGAGGTGGGGGGGAAAATGACCACCTCTCCCCACATAAGGGTGTCATAAACTTCGATTCCGCGGGAAGCGGAAATCGAAGTCCCACTCCTGCCCGATGTCCGCCCCTCTCCCGTCTCATGCTCCTCACCCTCCCTCGATTGTTCTCGACGCACCCGCCTGCGTGACTAAGGATTGCAAGACGGCCGAAGATAACTCGAATACCGCCCCCGACGATGTTCTGAACCCCTCAACCCATCCGAAAGAATCTCCAGGACTCCACTCGGACGGCCCTGCAAGCCGTGGGAGGCTCTCTGGATCGCTTGTTTCTCCAAACGGCCACAATGAGACCTAGAACGCAACCACGCGCAAGGCGTATATACACATTGCGGGTTCCAAACTTCCGGATCACAAAACATGTCATCTCTTTGGGCCGCAACTTTTCCTTCCGCCGGCTTCCGCCGAGCTTCTTCCGCTGGCGGAGGCGCCCTAGTTTTACTTCTGCCACCTTCCTTGGGCCTTTCGCCGCCTTCGGCCGAGGAAGAGATGTCAACCTCTCGATCCATCGAAGATGAGGCCCTTTCTGGAACGCCTCAATGGTGCATACGTTCGATGTCATGGAGAGAAGGCATGGCTGCGCGAAGTTGATAGTCCTGGCGCGCGCCTTCACGCAGATCCACAGCAGGGATGCACGGAGCTCAAGACGCCTGGTCTTGGCTGAGCTCTCGTATGACAGGACCTCAGGTCACCCCTGGACGGCCTGCAGGCTTCGGCAGGCCCAGATACCTCGACCGCATGGTGACGTGCAATACAATGCCCTCAACTGTTCGAATGTTTGCCCATGTAACGCCGTGCGGTGCCAGCTGGTTCCGTGTCGTGCCCGCGTGGTGCCCGTGGTGCCGAGTGGTGCGGTGCGGCACCGTGTGGTGCAAGTGTTCGCAACTCTTGGGCCCATTGCTCGCATGTTGTCGCGTGGTGCAGTGCGGTGGCGTGTGATGCCCTGGGGACTCTCGGATCCGTCACCAATGAGGTGCCATATGGTGTTGCTTGGGTCACGTGGCACCATGCCAAGCCCGCTGCGCGTGTGGTGTCTTGTGGTGCTGCGCGGTGCCCTGTGGGAGATGTTCGATCCGTTGCCCGTATGGTGCCATGTTGTGCTGCGTTGTGCCGTGTAGGAGGCCGTGTAGCGATGCCTGGTGCTCAACCCTCGGAGCCGTCGCAACTATGTTGCTGTGTGCGGTGCCATGTGGCAGATCGATCCTTTGTCCGTGTGGTGCCGCGTAGTGCTGCGTTGTGCCGTGTAGGCGACCACGTTGCGATACCTGGTGCTCAACCCTCGGAACCGTCGCCACTGCGTGGCTGTGCAACACCCTGTGGCGCAATGTCGCCTTGATTGCCCATGCCCATGCGGTGCAGTGTTGAGTGGTCACGTGCGGTGCTTCGCTGCTCGTGCCTGGATCCGTTGCCCGTGTGCCGCCGCGAGGTTCTGTACGCTGCGACTCTCTGGCAGTCTGTGACCTAAAACTGTTGCCCCCCTCGCGCCAGGACCCGCTCATGATCGGTCACACTCTGGGATGGCCTGCCGGGCCAAATCCGGCCCCAGCGACGAGGCGGGGCCCAGGGCGCCGAGAACTGCAGAAACGCAGGCGCAGTGATACGCAAAACCCTGTGCCATAGCCAGGAGGAATTTCACCACCTCCACCGCTGGGCCTGGGAGTGGCACCACGATCGGCGGCCAACTGTCCAATGGCAAACTGACCTCCGCGGGAGCGTTGCCATTGAATTCTGGCGGTGATGGCGGTCAAACACCTCTTAGCGACCTGGCGCGTCTTTGCCGGCACTCTCGCCCCACAACCGCTTGCGAAGATTCTGGCCCCCCCCCCCGGGAAGCCCTCGCCGATAGAATGCGTAATGCGTCCTAGGCTCGACACACTTCAAAACGAGAAACAGCAATAATCCAGTAATGATCGAAACCACCTCGAGAGAAGCAGGCCCGATGAGGGACTCTGCGCTGCCTGGATGGCCACCGCCCTCTAGCGTAGGCCAAGACAGCGGGCAAGCGCCGCGGTTCGGGGCGATGCCGCGGAGGCCGCAGAGCTCGGCCAGCGCCGGGTTCACGCCCCCGGCTGGCTGGAAGAAGAGGAACCTCGGCAGTGGGAGCCGCCCCGCTCCCGTCCGGGACGACGAAGGGACGACCGCACACGGTGCTCGTTTATCGCGGCGCCAGCCATCACTTTGGCCTTGGGCAGGGGGGCCCCACTGTGGCATTCCTGGCTGCGAAGAAGCCGTACTTGCTGGAGGCCGCGGTGCACTCATGGGGTCCAAAACATGATCTGAGTACGAACCGCCGCGCCATGTTGCGCCGTGGTACCGTTCCTGTGACGTTCCGTGCCGTGGTGCGGGCCCAGAACGCGAACTACTGGAGGTAAAAGAGCTGTGCCGTGCTGCGCCATGATGCCGCGACGTGCCGCGCTATGGCACACGCAGCGAAAGCTCACAAAAACTAGCCCGGGGGCAGAGAGGTGCCGTGACGTGACGTGCTGCACGACGGTAGCGCGCCCGCTCCGCGCCTTAGGGCCGTGGCGTGCTGTGAAATGCCACGCCGAGGCGCACTGATGTGCCCAACGCGCGACATGGTGGGACAAATGTGCCATGCCGCCGTGCCGTGCCGTGCCGCTGGCGCCCAGCGTGGCTATGTGGGGTCTCCCTGCGGGGCGGAATGCAAAAATCGCCACAAACAGTGCGTGGGTAGAGCAGATAGGAAGGGATAAGGTCGAGGAGATGCTTCATGCCTGGCTCCGCGGCAGAATAGGCCGAAGAACCCTAGGGTGCGTGAATTGGTACTTGACAACCCGCCGTCCATGCCCACGCCTGCCTTCAGGGTCTAGACTCCAGCATTGTCTAAATTTCCGTAACAACTTACCCGTTGATCGAGGCGTGAGGCCAACTGCCTACCTGAATGGGTACCAAAAAGTCTCCGCATCCCGAACCATTCCTGCGAACCGCGCAGCAGGTGCCATACATCTTACTTGAGTGGCGGATTCTGCTGGTCGGCAGCCGAACGAGATCAGAGGCGACCTCCCCCTCTCCCCCTTGCCCTCTATCCACCTCCTCCTCCTCTCCCTCTACCTCGCCCGCCTCATGTTCCTTCTTATGCCAACTCCCCTTCTCCCCCAAACGCACCCCTCCCTCCCACCATCGTCCTGTTTACGCTTGTCTTCCTCCTCATCCTCCTTCAAAGAAAAGGAGGGGTGCACGAGAAAGGATGCAGAGGAGGGGGATCATGAAAAAAGCAAGGAAGAAGGAGGGACATTGAGGAGAAAACAAACCAGAAACGGGAGCAGGGGGCAGGCGAGGGAGGAGGGAGGGAGGGAGGAAACGAGGGAGGGAGGCAGGGCGAAGGAGGGAGGGAAGGAGAAAACGATCAAGAGACGATTAACGGACCAGTGTGCACATTACGTTGCTATGTAAACAGGAAAAACAAAACCGATTGGTTACCTCCTTGGGTGGGTCGGCACCCGCCTCGTGAGCATCGGTCGGCTGCGGGTCCCATCAGGCCACTCGGTCTACGAATTCCTGGACGGGACCTCCCACCTCTGAATGTTGGTCAACGTTTCTGTGCCTGTTCGGGTGGGGTGTTGCTTACATGCAGCGACCATGCCTGCGCCGAGTCGGCCGCACCCAGTGGGGGGCCGAACCCCTAAACGCCCACATCTCCAACAATAATCTGCCCATACATAATCGCAGGATGGAGAGCCTCGTGCACGACCTTCCCCTGGACTTCGACCAGGGGGGGGCAGCGGAACGGTGCCCCCCCGGGACTCGATTCGGTGGAATTCGGTCCCACAGCACCTTACCTGGCGGAGCCAATCCAAAACAGGAAATTTGCCAGGTCCGCGGTGGCAGCGTAAACAACCCCAAGAACCACCTACCGTGGTTATACTGTGCCCAGACAACTTCTCGAGCAACTTCCTGTAACGCCATGGTTTACTGGCACTCGGCACCTTGCACGTGGGCCTGTACTGGTTTCTTTCTTCTTGGGCGGCTGACGAGCGATCAACAATTATCCTGCGCCGTCCTTGCCCGGCCGGCCCTGGGGCCAGCGTCTGCGGAGGTACGCAGTTCAAGATGCGCTCGTCTGCCTCCCGCTTCACTCCTGATTTGAGCCCGCCAGTCCTCAAGCTGTCCAGAGACAACGTCGAAGATTTCGTGCCAACCGCCGTGCATCTGGCTGTCCGTGTAGACCCAGATCGGGGCACGGGGGAGATTCGCAAGGTCCACAACAGGGCAGCGAGCTCAGCGCACGCAGTCTCTTGTACTTCATCGATGCCGCACGCCCGCGAGGACGGATGACCTCGCGATCATTGTCCCCGAGCCGCTGCACAGAGTGGGCAAAGCACACTCCCATCCTGCACGAGCAATCCGCGCATCCGTGCTCGACGCCGAGCTGTCCAGGAAGGCCAGCTTGCCGATAGCGCCGGTGGCGCGGGACTGTGCAATTTGGCAATAGTTCGGCGCCCTTTCGACTCAGGTTGCGCGGCCATTGCCGGTCGCCCCAAGGCGGGGGCGGTGGCGCTTCGTTGCAGGTGCCCGGAAGTACGCCACGCTCCCTCAGCTGCAGGTTCAGTTTGTTGGCGATGTCTTAAAGCGCTATCCCAGCACGTAGCTTCTCGCTCTGCCTGATCCACGGATGGCCCGTGCCCCACGTGCGCTTGCACTCCCAAACCCAATGGCCCATGGCCCCAGGCCGGCCTGAGGTGCACCTCTAGCAGAGCCCGTCGCAAAGGTATCCAGCTGCTTTGTACCTTGCTTGGGTCCACATGGCGTTGCGCACCACTGCCCCCGGCGCTCCAGCTTCTCGATGTTGCTCCATGTGCATCATGATTTACATCGTCTTGGCATACGATGTTGGGCATGACCTCGATGTCCAGTCGCCCCCAACATGGCCCCTCCCAGCATGCTGCCGTAGCTCCTGCAGAACGTCCGCCACGATCACCGCGGCCGCGTTGCTGGCGTCGTCTTCTCCGCCACGTTGCGCCCCTCAGTCCGCGCGACCTTCCTGGCGAGCACTTCGTCCAGGGTGCTCTCGGCCCCGAAGCTCTGCGCGAGCAGGCGCGCCCTCTGGCCGCCTCCTCCCGCCCTGCGGGGGAGCTCGCGCCTGCGCCCTTGGCCCGATCGTCGCGCCGCCCAACGCTATCGCCCAAGAAGTGGGCGCCATGTGACGGGTGGCTAGGCCGCCCGAGGCCGCGGGGCACCAGTCCCATCCTGCGGTGGAATGATATGTCGCGCATCGCTTTCAGTTCGTCAGCGCGGGGCAATTGCCGAGGGCTGCCCCGAACCTCCTGGCCCAGATCCCCTCGCGAGCAAAATGCTCGGCCCGTCGACCTCCGGCAACTCGACGCCGCAAGGCCCCTCGCTCCTAGGGGGCGCCTGCCCGGGAGGGGGTTTCGTCTGCGACGCTGTCTCAGCCTCCTCGGGGACGGGCCAGGGCGGCAGAGACGCCTCCCCAGAGAAATTGCATGCACTGGCGACGACGTGGAGCCAAATGCCAGCGGGGGACCCGCCTGCGGACTAGTTGCTTCCGCGGGGCCCCAGCCCATCGCCGGGGCCATCGCGGCTGCCCTGTAACCATGCGTCATCTTTCGAGGAGTCGCTGAAGAGTGAGTCCTGCGCCATCGCCTCTTCGCCCAGCGGAGTCTGCGGCGCCGCTGCGTCGGCGGCGGCCGCGCCCCTTGCTGGGGGGAGGTCTGCTTTTTCGGCGGAGTCCAATGTAGCTGTGTTGTTATTGCTGCTGCGACGCCCCATTGCCAGCCCCGGCATTCTGTGGCCATTGATAACACCACTGCGAACGGTCGCGCTGTTCCCGTGGAAGTCTGGCTGCGCGTGGAAGTGGGCGGCCGCGGCGGCCCCTCTGCGGCCGTGACGGACGCGCGTGGCCAGGTCGGTAGAGAGTCCAGCGAAGGCGCATGACTCGCAGGCTCGGGTAAATATTGTGTTTCGCCAGGCCATGAGGCAGAGCTCGCAGGCCCCCCCGCGGCGGGGGGGGGGCCGGCGGGCTCGCCGCCTCGCCGCGAGCGCCATATGAGCGCATTGAGCACTTTTTAAGCCTGCGGGCGCGCGCGGGCATGAGGCCAGCGCAGGCGCGGGCCAAAGCAACGGGCGAGGCGCGCCGGAAGCAAGTTGGGGCGCGACGGGGCGCGGGATGACTGGGGGGGCGGAGATGAAAGACCCGCTCAGAACGCGCAACGCATCGCGGGCGCGCCGAGGAGGGGCAGCAAACAGCGCATTGAAGAAATGGCGCCGCATGTCTTCCATAGCGCGACCATTGTAAACCTCCATCCATTCTTGAACGCGTCGCTTTCTTCATGCCGCGCCGACCGCAGCCCGGCTGCATCGCGCGTGCGATCCCGTAGGCTGTCGGCGATGGCTGGCCGCTCTCCGCCTCGCGCAGCTCCGGCCTTGTCGGGGGCCGTGGAGTGCGCAGGTCAGGGGGGGGCCATGCCCCTCTTCAGGGTCTTCACTAGGGTCGTCCACGGGGCTGTCGGCGACGTCGAGGCCCCGGATGGGCTCCGGCGCCAGGGCCGGCGCCCCGCGGCCGCTCGGCGCGCGGAGCGGGCGCGCCGTCGTCGCCGAGCGGCCGATCGGGACAGGCGCCCCGGCGCGCCAGGAGGAGAGGGCGAGAGGGGGGGAGGGCCAACGGCAGCAACAGCAAGTGACTACGCACACCGAACTGCACATTAATATGGGAATCTAATTTTCGCAACTGCTTCCCGCGCACTCTGCGGCCTGCGGCTCAACGACGAATTCAACCTCTCTGCGTCGCCGGCCGCAGTCGACGCGTGCTCGAGAACGTCCTTCGCCCAACTTTTTTCTGGAAGCGCTGCGGCGTCTTGGGCCCGCTCGCCCCCGCGGCTGAAATGGCGCCCCCATCGGGGTCGAAAGCGCTCTGCCTCATAAGGTCGGTCGTGTTTCGCCTGGCCAGATACTCTATCCAATTTAGCTATGTCCAATATGCCGCTCGCGGGCATTGCGCCGGCCTGCCGCGCAGCCGAGGCGTGGGCGAACGCCTCCCCAACGATCCTGCGGATGCGGAAGACTGCGTCGGGGGCGCCGCGGCTCGGGCGAAATCTGACTTAAGCATCCCAA